GCAGTGATGGGGGCAGTGGGAGAGGAGAGGGGGCTGGCAGAGCTGTCCAGGACCGGGTGGGTACATTTGCTTAATTCTGGGGTTCAAACGAGGAAACCCACCTGCCTACAAGTGAAATCCACATTCTCCAACAGAAGCTTCATCAGCATCAAGGGTGATCATTTCAGCTCTTTTTCCTTCCTTCTTTTGTCCTACTTTTCACGTGGTCCAGAATGCAGGGGGAAAGAGGGTGCTCCTTACTGTGCCCCCTTGAACTTCCAGCAGTGAACGGGGTTGCAGAGGCCAGATTCTTGCTAATGGTCAGATTTAAAAGCCGGTATCAAATGTACTACACTTTAGAGATCCAGTACCAGCAGTGTTCTGATGGGCCGGGCCAACCTCCTTCGGTGTCAATTACTGAGACACTCGCCACAGAGCACTGGAGAAGGAGCTGACCAAGGACCACTCTAAAAGGGGTTGATCTCTGCCCCTCTATTGTCCTCGAAATTGGTAGCTTTCTATGTGGACCTAGGGTAATTACCTCAGGAAATTATCCCTTTTCAAAATACAAAATAAAACAACCTTCTCATTCCAAATCCTAAAATCCTAGCAGTTCACTCACTAGACATCCCATCTAAACTGGATCCTAATTTTCTTCTTTGTACGTTATAAATCTGAGCTCCTGAGACCAGTATCATACATCCTATTGGACTACAATAGTCTTCTAATCTTTTGCAATGACCCCTTACCACTTTTTACCATCTTGTAGAGAAATCTGCTAGGAATGAGATGGTTGGCAGGTTTTATTGCCTGTCCCTAAGCCAATGACGCAGTAAGAAGAAAACGGCAGTGAGCTAAGCTAAATAGAGCTCGCTCATCCTCCTCCCCTGGTTTCCAACGCGTAGACAGAATCCACCTTAGCTTGGTAGGACCAATATCTTGACAGATAAGGTTAGTAACTTCTAATGGGACAAAACATCAGATATGTTGTGTCCTACCCCCTTTTAAACTGTCCCTTAATAACTTGCTATCAATTTTAAATAAGCTGGATGCATCATTCCACCTACAGAAAATGGGAAGATAAAAATTTTTGTATATGCTAGATGTGATGAGATTTTATAACACGAACCTGGAAAA